TCTTGCAGAAGATGAAATTCACACGTAGTTCCTGTGAGGCTGTCTCTAGATTGAATTTGCCTGTTTCAATTTGCCGTTGGATTTAATTTGGGAGTCAGAATCAAATACATTCATGTGTTCTGCTTGGATTCTCATCCCTGTCAACATAAAGGGCGATCAAAGGAAATGAAAAAGACCACAAAGAAGCCAGTTCTATTAACATACTGACCAGTGCGTTTGTGGCTCTAATTCCGAGCATTTCTGCAGTTGACAGGACTAATCGCACACACATTAACCAAACTTCCTTCTTTGCAGAAGAGGGGATGTCGAATAACTTTTCACGTTACCGATAATTCCGTCCATCACCACAAGTTTCAACAGACAACAACAAACTGGTTCCTCGACTTCCAAGCAGCCTCTAATTCAGTCAGCCGAATGTGCTTGTCCAGTATCATTGCTACCGATATGACAATCGAAAGGCTTATAAATATTTCAAGATAGTATTACCTAGTTATTCAGTCTATTATCTGAGTTCATGATGAAGGCCGGGTTTTTGTCAAGATTGCCTTATTACGCCGGTAACACCTAATTACGCAATTGACTGGGTAATGCAAAGAGACCCAATGAACATCGTGGAGTACAGATCAGTTTCGATACTTGGATTACCCTCATTGTCACTCTCCGAGCTATCCAATAGACTTGCTATTGCACCCGTGATCTTCGCAAAATCATCGCAACGACGATCAAGTGGTAAAAATCAGAGGTCACAAACAGCTGAACAGAGAATAAACTAAACAACACAAGCGGAATTCCAAGTCAACCACCAATACCAGTGTTGTAAAATGATTCTAAAATGACTGTATGAAAACGTGACGCTGCCTGGAGGGCTTACACATAAATGCCCAAACATCGCCATTGAAAGCCCATCACAACAAAAAGGTTCTTCAGCTGAGGACCAAGTGATATTTTCTGTCAGAGTGACCATCTTTGGGCAGTGGTGCCGCGGTGGTAACGTCACCAAATTATCACATGTGTTCGAACCCCGCCAGCACCGCTTGACTTTCCCCATGGCAGTCCTTTGATTGGCCGCTTCTTCCCTCCCGAAAATTGTATCATTGTGTATTCTTTTCTTTTTATTTGACTTCCTTTTATTGAATGCACAAGGATACAATTTTTTCAGAAAGAGCTCCCACAGAATACACAAATGGGGAAAGTCAGGCGGTGGTGGTGGGATTCGAACACTCGTCCTCCGGGGTGATAATTTGTGACCTTACCACAGGACCACCACCGCCAATAAAAGGAAGCAAAATTAAAAAAAGAAGAAAGAAAGAATCTTTGCGCTTGATTAGTTTTAATGATGAAGTAAGTTGGGGTTTTGTGCGCCTGTATTCACACGAACGGAGGTGATTGCAGTTCGGAAGCTTAATCTTACCGCTGGGGGGGGGAGAGAGATTGTATAAACAAATTATTCAAAGATATCCTGTTTGGGGTTCAGCCTACGGAACTAGTCTTGAGCCGTGTGACTCAAGGCTAAGGGTTAAGCGCTGCTGACAACTCGCAAACAAAACGAACAACAGCTTATACATACTCTTCTTAGGTCGTCTTAGAGATTTACATCACATATAAAAGTTATAAAACGAATGTTTTTGTTAGAGTCAAATAAGTGGAGAATAAGCAATGACATTAGGGCATCGGGCCGTAGTGGGAGAAATATGACATTGTTTCAAACTGGGGTTTGTGACTGCTGAAGTGTAGATGCGCACTCAAACTTGTTTCATTTGTAAAATTTGCAAGATTATCAATCGGTTGTATAGATAAAAAATTGTTTCAGCTATAGATTGTTCCTACTGATAGCACGATCCGCAATGGGAAGGAGAAAACGGTTGTCACTGGTGACTATATATCTCCTTGGCTTGACTCGGCAATTGCCGGAAATTTCGAAACACCCTTTAAAATTCATTTCCTTTGTTCTACTGTTAAGAGATGTTGCCTATTTGGTGCATAATACATGATGGTTTCAAAAGCAAACCAGTAGTCATGACATTTGTTTCATTGTCTCGTATCGCGTGTTATCCGAGCAGCAGATATCTTATCTACGTGCGAACTGTAGAAAAAAAGCAATTAGTGCATCAGCTTATTCCGCTTGATGGCGCTGATTTGTCATAGTGGAAAAGAAAAATGGTGCGTGTACACCATGCGAGGTTCGCTGTTGAGTTCACGTGTGATGAAGTGTGAAACTTTCCGATACAGACAATCTGCTTCGTAATTAATCATCATCTTTATTTGTGCTAGATATTTTGATTGCCTCGGCCGGCTGAAATGTATATCACCAGAGTGCATTGCTTGATTCACAGGTTTTTGTTGTTGCCGCTGCTGCTCTGATCCGCTTCACTTTTCACTCATGTGATACTTTAGTTTTACATGAGGCAAAGTTAATCCCGTTTTTTCAGCTGTATTCGTTTTTGTTTTTAATGATGAAACCTTTCATGGATTAGATCTAAAACAAACCGTTAGCAATCTTTCATCTCATGCAACTGATTTTTTAAATGGAAGCACTCGTTATTCAGACATTATGCATGTGTTTAGTAGATAACAGGAAACTACCGTATCTGATACCGCTTTAGAATAACACTGTATGAAACACATGTGTGTAGTGATCCAGACCTACGCGATGACATACATGTATTTTACACTTGTCTGTAGACAGACTGTGCCAAAAACATCATGGTACAATAATCTTTATAAAAAGGAAAATGTTCAATGACGCCTACCCTGGAGCAGCGCGTTACAGTTTCTGGACACCTGCGATCAATCAAACACGAAAGGTGACGTCAATGACACGCTTACGGCTTCCGACTACGTGTCATAGGCAGGTTGTTCCAGCCAATCCGAGACATTGGAGACAGTAGCAGAATTATGCAAGCAATACTGCGGTACGATTGGTGGAAGCCTAGATAACCAATGATCTTCTTTTGCTTTCATTTCTTCCAATAAACGAACTTCGAATTGTCAGTCTTGTGGCCTTTTCCTCGCGTCCCGTTCACGTAGGATATTGCGAGCTCGTGCTATTACGGTTCAGTGCTTCCGTAATCTAGTCTGTGATAACTGATCCTTGATTCGTGTCCTGTGATTCCTACTGCGTGGTTCATGTTCCGAATTCCGTGCGTATTACTATTACTACCAACATTACAACAAGACCTCCCTCTAGTCGCTTCAACTGCACAAATACTGTCAGTTGACATCAGTCCTCCATCTGAAATCCAGGTTTCCCGGGAAATAAGTCATCTCAAACGGCATGAGGCTTCCGGCGCCGATGGGCTGTCCCCATCGGGTTTTAAGGATAGAGACCCAGCCTTGGCTTTGGAGTTAACAAAACTCCTGGGCTCGATGTGAGAGAGGAAAGAGGTTCCAACTGAATGGCTTGAATCGATGATCATACCCATTAACAAGAAAGGTGAAAACCACAGAGGAATTAGTTTAATCAACATTGCGTCTAAACTTCCCGCTTGTATCATACTTTGTCGATTGTCTGCCGCACGTCAACGGTGCAGGCCTGAGGATTAGGATGGTTTTAGACGTGATCTAGATTGTATTGACCTCATCTTCACTCTTCGTCGAATTCTGGAACACAGACACTCCTTTCGTAAACCCACCAATTCTGTCTTCCTGAAAGTGGCTTTCGACTCAAGCGAACGCTCTAAACTCTGGCGCTGCCTCGCTCTGAGGGGTGTGCCCGAGAAGTTCATTTCAGTAATATAATCGCTTTATACTAATAGCCGAAGCCGAGTCCGAGCTTACGACACTTTTTCATTGAGTTCAACACGGAAAGTGATGTTCGTCAGGGTTGCACTCTCTCTCCGCTTCTATTCAACTTTTCATAGAATTAATTCTGGAAAAGCCCTATCCTCGGGCGAGGATAACGGTATCGAGTTACTCTCAGGTGTCATACTGTCTGATTTAGAGTATGCAGACGACGTTGTGCCACTAAATGAAGATCCAAGTAAGTTGCAAGCTTTTCTGAATAGTTTGAGTACTAATGTATCCATGTTCGGTATGAGTTTTACTCTTTGAAAGTGTAAAACTTTACTACAGGATTGGATTGGTTCAGCACCCTGATTGGCGAAAAAGTGGAGGAAGTAGACAGATTTCGCAGATGAAGCTGTAATCTCCCTGGCGGACGCATCACAGATTAAGTGTCTGCGCGGATACAAAAGGCTCGGTTGGCATTTGCCAACATGACACAGTGATGGCGCCGTCGCAACATCCGACTGTCTGTGATGGGTCGAGTATACGCTATGGTAGTTCCGCCAGTACTGCTCTACGGTACAGATACTTAGCTACCACGGGAACAGGATAAAAATATATTATTAGTCTTCGAACACCGTTGTGTACGTCGCGTTGCGCGAGTCTGGTAGGGTAACCGGATGAGCAATGCTGAGGTTAGGCGTATAGTTTTAGGCATTTGCGGTCATCCACTGGAGCAAATGATTGACCTTCATAGATTACGTTGATTCGGGCACCTTTTACGCATGTCACCAAATAGGTTGCCACAGCGAGGCAGGTAACGGTTGGAAAAGGATGAAGGGTGATCCAAAGAAGACCTGGCATGAGGATACGAAAACCCTTACTAGGAGACTAGGTCACACAGGCTCTGTTCGGCTCCCCGGCTGGGGACCTCAGGACGACGGTCATCGATGGTTAGAGACACTGAATGAAATAGTTTGGTGTCGCAAACCGTGGCGCTCGTACATCCAATCATTATTCCCCTAACACCACTCTGTATGAATACTCCATTTTCCGCTTAAATTTGGTTTCAGCATTCCAATCTTCATTCTGCTCTTTTATCCAAATGTGGCACCAAAAGACAGCAACCAAAACCGGCGCATGAAAGTGCATGATTAATGGTTGTAAAAATTAAACTGAACTGAAACACAAGAACAAATAAAAAATGACCACAATCACTGTGCAAATTGCTCATACTAAGCACACTCGAAAATGTGAACCCAAATGCTCATGAATCATCAATTGAGACAATCCGTAACCGTATGACATTCCAACAAAATGTCACTTACTTTCGCCTCAGGGTACATTCTCATCAACTGTTTATAGATTGTGCAACCCGGGTTGTCCGTAGTCAACTGATATCCACAGAAAATGTTTCTGATTATATCCTTCGGCAAATCGGCATCTGGACCGTCACGCTCCATTCGGTTATACAATTCCGTCCACAATTTCACGTGATCCGGATGTTTTTCTATCAGCTCGCCCATATGGTAGCATGGCTTCTGGTAGAGAATCTCCAATGCAGCCTTCAGGCTCGACGTGCCAGTCCGACCGAAACCGGCACCGATCACGAGCATCGGTGCATCGTCTTCTTCAACTTTGGGTTTTTGGACACACATTATTTGGATAGAGCGTCTTAACTGATCAGCTCAATCTTTGATGCAGTTTGTGATCCGATCGAGAGAAACGAGAAACGTGAGAAAACAGTCAGATGCATCAGTGATAGTTGGATTAGCCGGAAAGAACCAAGGCACTAATTTACTTACTTAAACGTTATATGATTGTTTGTGTCCGGTCGTGACTGTTACAATTAACATTCGTTTACTACCTCATATTGCCATTTTGGCCCACATTTGTTCAACATTTTGTTTAACAACATTTCTTCCAATTTTTGACCTGAAATACGATCATTTCACTAAAGTATTTACTGGCACAAATAAGTTCCCTGGTGCGTTAATATCTGCTCGTTTATGAGATCGCAAGGCAGAAGGAAATACCTGGAAAAGGTTCAGCCACATGCCTTTCAGCCTGAAACACTATTTGTTGCATTCGATTATATCATATTTTATTACTCTTTCAAAATCAGCGGAGCCGAAATCATCAACGCATGCAACTGGAAAACGCAACAGCGAGCTATCCACATCTTTTGGAGGAACTGAATAGACGATCGCCAAATTTTGTTTGGTCTAGTGCGCACTGATGTTGAAGATGAAGAGAAGCCCAATTCACTAGAACCGATTGCTTCCTAGTTTCTCTGATCACCTCAGCCTATACCAACAATTACGAAAGAACAAAATGAAGCAAACATAACAATTCATTGCCGTCAGTGGTTTACGCAGTTCACCTTGAATCACATTCGATACACAAAGAATAATCCGCCGGACTCGCTTCTTGATTTTATCATCAATGAAACAATTATGTGAAATGGAACACGGGATCAGATTATTCCATTGACCATTGAAAAAGTTTTCTTTTGTTCAAAATCCCTTCTTACAATTCATCTATTAGAAGAAGGATGCATTGTGTTTCTGCCACAGCTTTTTCCTTGATTCGATCATAGTTATCATTTTTTTAATTTATCATGTAATATATTACGCTGAATATAGATTGCGCTCATGTAGATCCCATCGTTTTGAACTCATCAGACAACATACTTATTCTATGACTTGTTTACATTTACCAGGGTGGTTTGATAGCGCATATGTTCTGGTCTTGTGGTAGTTCACTCTTTACCAAGAAGGTAGAACGACAAAGAAACGATCTCAGGCACTTCTTAATCTTTCAAACGTACACATAAACATAGGTGTACTCAATTCCCCAGTGTGAGGCTGGGACGTTTGACGAAAAAGGATTATGATGCTCGCTGGTTTCGATAGATATTTGTACACAATGCATTCCGATTACTATGTTCTCTTAACTATAGTCTCTGAATCGAGCTAGCGAGTTCACCTATGAAATGGATCTCCATCGATTGACTTCAAACTGGCCATTTGATTCCCGCTACTGACAAGGTCATTATTTGGAGTGTGGTAATTTTATCCTAGATGTTTTTTTCGACGGCGGATGATAACTTGTCGTACTTATGTCTAATCCATGAAATTCAGTTAGCAATCAGAATATTCATGTATCCAAGCACCAATCCACCCGTGCTTTGAGCTTCGAACCGATTGCATGGAAAGTGTTTGTTAACATTATGCAAACGACCTCAAGCCGCACCTGACCGGTATGGCCAACTCATGTTTATTTATGTTTCGCCTTCAAATGATTTTCAGGTGACATTAACAATACGAGAGATACAGTTGGTATGAGCTTCCACCGAAAGTCCGGATAGGACAGGGTAGATATGCACCAACGGATGAGGTCTAATCAAAACAAAACTGGAGTCCAGTGCTTCTCAAGTGAACCGTTGACTGGATGAACAGAGGATTGTAAGTGCCGCTCAAGTCTGAAAGATGGCCTATCTAAATCAATATCAGTTAGCCTACATATCTACCCAAAAGTAACTGTAAGATAAATTTCACTTTCCAATGGTTAAAATTAATTTGGGAAAACGCTAGCGATTCTCCAGGATTTGTACGCAGCTATCGATCTCTTCATCGTATTCGTTTCAGTAGAATTTTGATAACCCAAACATACATTGAGAAAAGCTAGTACAATTATATGACCGTAAAACCGTAAAACATAAATGAAGCGTATTCTAATAATGATCCTGCTAAAATATATTTTGCACGAACAATTTCTCGGTGGATATCATCATTCTCTTCTTCTGAATTGTTGATGTTGGCACAAGAACCTCAAGAACCTCTCATTATCGGATGTGGATGGATAATGGTGGTTTACGTGGGCCTAAGAAACCAACCCAATATGTTTAGTGATGATCTACATTCGTGTCGATAGGCAGCCCAGCGGTTCAAAATAAGTGACGATAAGCAGCATCGGTCGAGTTTGACGGCAGAGTGTTGGCGTTTGGTTTCATGATGGGATTGAGCGAGACCACCTCACGACTGCTACAGAAAACATAACTTATGGGTGGTGCACTATCAAACTGTCAGTACCCGAATTCCACTTGAAGGGACACAAATCTCAAACGAGATCGTCAAGCCTACCGGTCTTGCTCGAAGTGCCCGTGTTAATTTTGCTTAAACTATTGAACTCAAAGGAAGAGGATATCGATTGGTGAGTTTCGAAACAAGTAAAACAGAGATACTTAAAGCTTGACGTTTGCAGACAGCATTTTCATCAACACTTACCTCTTATATGGACCAGTTCCTGCGGGTTCGCGTTTGTCAGAGTCATTATATATGGGAATAATCTCAATATTCACGTGATTGGATACATCTTTCAGTGCTTTTTGCTTCTCGCCGAACTTGGTTGACCGAATTTCAACGCACATGCTCGATGGAACATGGTCCTCATCAGCTGACCTCAAACCGCGTGAATTCAACCGGTGACGGGTCCACATTGATTGATAGTCAGAGTGATCTATCATATGAAAGCGTTCAAATGTAAAAATCTCAGAGTTGTTTTTGTTTCTGTCGAGCACTCAAGCATCGTACTGGTAGAGGATGTGCAACATAAACAAATATGGGTTATTGAATAGGCAATGAACAGATAGGCCTAAATAACGAGAATTCTCTGAACGTTCTCTCCTGAAAGGCAAATCCCATACCTAACACATTAGTGGATCCACATCCCAAGGAGGCCACCCAAACACCGGTTTGGTACCATCCTAGCATTAGAAAAACGAGGCTGCCAAAAGATTTATGGATTAAATTTATTGAATTACGTTAGGGACTGGTTCTCATTGTCAGGCAAGGCAAGGGAAACGAACATGCTGAAGTATTACAAGTTTGGGGGAAACCCACCCAATGGTAGCTGTTTGGAATACTGGGAACAATCTTTCATTTTCAACTGGGGAATATTTGTTCAACCATTTCTATCCTGTTGCAGTAAATTTTCGATCGGTATTATTCCTCTTAATTCGATTGTATTGACTGGAGTACCATCTGTCCGTATTGTTGGTATAACCACTGCCATGGAGCTCACTTTTTCATGTTGCTTTACTGATCGGTCTCCGTGGCTCAAAGGGATAGAAATATTGTTTTACACGTTGTAGACAATGTAATCATTTAACTACGCAGAAAATATTCATAAGTTTATGCTCTAGGGAAGAAATACAGAGAGACGTTTTGAACGATTCGGGACGTACTGTACACGCAGGAGTTTATTCGGAGGCAGTGTGAGATGCGAGGACAGAAAGAAAAACCATACAGTGTTCTCAAATTCCCTGAATTCCCTGTAGTTGTCATTGGAGGATGATGAGGTCAACCTGTTAGACACAAACGCCTAGCAACAGAAGTCGACCGCACTGGTTAATTGGCCAAATCGTAGGTCATTTTATCATGCACTGGGCCCTTCAAACTGTGGGTTAGATAATCATTGTTCCGTCCATATTAAATTGTAATCTGTTCTCCTTCTCAGATGCAAATGTTCAGCCCTGTTTATCGACATTTGCCTAATCGGACGAACGAACGTAAATGTTTTATTTTTAAGTTTATTTAATATGTAATTGCATAATCGCTTCTCAGAAAGAGAGTCGCCGTCCTCGCTGGAGAAATACAGAAAATAGGAAGATTCACAAGATTCACGGGGGTTGACGGGCTTGGAAACCGAAGTTTTCAAGTATCCCGGATTCTGGTGGTAGCTTTACTGCTCGGTGACGGACGGAGGTCCTCGGGGTGGTTGTCCGTTATACGGTATCCGTTTTTATCTTAAACGAAAGACAGCTGTCGGTAGCACCGGTCGAATGTGGTTTTCTGCGATCGTACGTGAGCAATAAACATCGGATAAACTTGGTTCATAAACCACTTGTTACCACACGCATCGCAGTGTTCCAATGGCGCCAATCGTTACAAAACCCCTTCCAAACAGCCAGGACGCACAACGAAACCATGCAATCATTCTTCCAGCAGTCGGGGTAAATGAGAAAAGAAAAGCAGTGCGTTAGGTAGATAGAAGGGATGGAGTGGGTCTCCGCCCTCACCGTGACAGAACCGTAACCGAAATTTACTTGGCACAGGATCGACAGGTTGCGCAGGGTTACATAACTCGGCCGCTCCTACCAGGATTTAGGTGTGTAAGTGAATGCACTGTGTGAGTATGTGTCCGGATGCATGAGTGCTGTTTGCAGTTAGGGAGGCAGTACCCATTTGCCCCTACCTGACTCCGAGCTTCGACTACGAGTGATTATTCGAGAGAGACTCTCCCGGCGAATCACCTATGCGTTGCATTTCCTTTTTTCTTTCTGTCTTTCTTGTTGTTCTTAGTTTTTTCTTTCTTTTTTTCTCTTTTTCTCCTCTCGTTTCTCTTTCCTTATCGGTTGACGAAATAACTCTCTATTTTGACGGTTCGGATCTGGTGGGTACACTTCTTTTTTTGATTTCTTATTATTACCGCGTTCAACACCGTAGGGCGTTGGGAGCCGACCCGAGTTTATGCTGTCACTAGTGACTCACTTTCGAGTGTCCCTCGCATTACTGTCTGGTCGGTGGGTTTTCTTTGTTTTGTCATTATGGGTATTTCTCTGACCCATTAGGGATAAAACCCCCACGACCTTGCT